TAGTGGGATGAGCTAAGGCTAAAAGGGCGGAGAGAAGAGATGACAGGTCAGTGGGAGGAGAAGGAGGCGGAGGAGGAGGAGAATGAGAGTCGGAGGGTGCAGTGGGAGGAGTAGGGGTTGTAAGATGAGCTAAGGTTGAAAGGGCAGATAGAAGACATGACAGGTCAGTGAAAGGAGGGTTAGAAGAAGTAGGAGGAGGATCGGGGATGGAAGGGACATCAGGGAGTGCAGGAGGCAGAGTAGGGTGCTGGGGATGTTCAAGAGCGGAAATAGCAGAGAGGAGAGAGTATAACAGGCCAGCAAGAGTAGTGGGGTTGAACAGGCCGGGATGATAGAAGTAGCGGAGGGAAAAGGCGAAACCGTGGTAGCAGTGACATCAGGAGGTGGGGCAGGAGCTAACGGGATGGGATCGGGGACGGGGGAACAATAGGAACAGGTGGAGACAGTGGAAGGGGCGGGGGACGAGGAGATAGAGGAGGTGAAGGGGCATCGGAGAGGGCTGGGAGGAGGGGTGATGGCGGGGCCTGGTCGGGGCAGTGGGGAGCTGGAAGGACGGCTGGGATGCAGGAGTAAGAGGAAAGGAATGTTACGGTACTGGGTAATAGTAGGCTCCATCAGCTCCGAGCACGGGACACAAGGGGGTGGGGACCTGTCCTACACCACAAGGAGGTGGCGTCTGGGCATTAACGGGGGAAGCTGGGCGGGAGTTATTCAACATGTTCTGGGCACCATCATAGGGCGGTGGTCGGGAAACAATGGGGGGTACATCATCATTGCAAACATTTCGGTGATACACATAAATCGTCTGCCCCTCAAAGTCTAACTCTTCGTCTGTCCAGCCCTCCCGTTTGTGACCTCTAGCGACCCGATACTAAGCCTCTACGGCTTTCATCAACCCGTTATTCAGCAATAAACCCTCTTTGTCAACAAGCAGTTTCCTCCAAAATTCTGGTTGCTGGTTTCGCCACATCATGTATGACAAACTAAGTACAACTAAAGGTTTAATAGCTTGTAGAACCACCTTTAGCAGCAATAACTTGAAGTAATCGTTTTCTGTATGAGTTTATCAGTCTCTAACATTGTTGTGGAGGAATATTTGTTCACTACTTTACAACGTAGCTTCACTTCATTGAGTTTTGCTGACATTTGTTTATGCACATGTCTCTTAAAGGGACACTTCAGGCACCCAGACCACTTCCGCCCATTGGAGTGGTCTGGGTGTCAACTCCCACAACCCTTAACCTTGCAAGTTTAATTATTGCAGTTTTTTATAAACTGCAATAATTACCTTGCAGGGTTAACTCCACCTGCAAGGTAATTAGAGGGCACTTCCTGGTCCATAGCACAGAAAATCTGTGCTAGAGCGACGCTGGAGGTCTGGATTTTCAATGCTTTCCTATGGGGAGCTCTAATGCGCATGCGCGGCGTTGCTGCGCATGCGCATTAGGTCTCCCAGGCTGGTGGGCAGGATCAGTCTCGCCCACCGGCCGACGTAAACACTGGGAGGAGCGGTGGCGAGAAGAAACCAGTGCTGAGGGAAATCGGCGGGGTCTCAGGTAAGTGATCTGAAGGGGTTTTCACCCCTTTAGCAACCGGGGATGGGAGGGAGAGGGGACCTGCAGTGCCAGGAAAACAGATTGTTTTCCTGGCACTGTAGAGTCCCTTTAAGGTCCCGCAACAGCATTTCAGTCGGGTTGAGGTATAGTCTTTGACTGGGCCTTTGCAACACCTTGATTCTTTTCTTTTTCAGCCATTTTTTTTTTTTTAAATTCTTTATTTTTGTGGGTATACGAGAGTTAAACACGTAGTACATTATGTGCAAAACAAAAGTGAAATAACATGTACAAAATACATTTAAGACAGTCTTCATATAACATTCGTATTTGCATAGAAACTTTGCAACACAATTTTTAATAGGTAAAGCCCTGCATTTCTCCCTCGTGGCCACTAAGGCGTATGGCTACCCTGAGGGGCTAGTATACAGCTTTATGTGCTCTGCTTAGGAATGTTGGGGCTGTAGGCGCAGCCTGGGCACTTGTATTATTAGGTGAGGGAGTGTGGTTATTATGGCCGATGGCCGTTGATAGGAGTGGTGCAGGTCCTCGCAAGTCTCCAAGTAGGGCGCTTGTACACAGAATTTCGGGCCTCTGCATTTGCTTCGTGTTAGGGGAGGGGCAAGTCTGCTTAACCAGGATCGGTGGGAGTCTGCTTACGGAGCCAGCAATTTAAATATATCTGTTGCCCTGTAACCTTCATAAGCTTAAAAAACAAACAAAAAATAAACTTTTAAGACCTTAGAAAACTTAAGAAACTTTGAGAAAAGAAACCAAGAACCAAAAAATCACTGCTTCTAAGGTGAGCAAAAAGACTAGGTAAGTTCAGCATATGAAAGGTGTCCAATTTATAGTCCTGCGGTAAGGGACCTATCAGACATTTCACAGGTGCATTTGCGTGTGCGGTCGCGTTTCTTATGTTAAAGGATCCGTCATCTTCGGCTCAGTTCCTCTGGGCACAAAGGGAGTTATATCATCGACATTCCACGCTGGGCTGGCCCTTGTCGCTGCTGTAGGAAGCGAGAGTCCCAGTGACTGGAGAAACTTAGGCGCTTCAGATATGCGTGTCAAGTGGGCCGTCTTACCGGCGTGCTCTATGGTTAAACGATGAGGGCCCCATTTATAGGGGATAGAGTTCTCGCCCAGTAGCAAGGTGATGTGGCGGAGAGACCTGCGCCAGGTGAGAGTGTGCTTTGAGAAGTCTCTGTATAGGGTCAAACTTGCTCCCTCAAACGTGATGGTGGGAGAGCCTCTTGCGGCTCCCATGAGAGCCCCCCGGTCCGAGTCCCGGACAAATTTAATCAACACATCCCTTGGTGCTTCTTGGGGCGCTTTGAGTGCCTTGGGGAGGTGAAAGCAGGTGTCGATCCCTACCTGCTTCGCTTGTTTGGGAGTCCGTAAGGTTGCCACCAGCCTCCTACAATAGTGTGGTAATTCCAGGTTTCCCGCCGATTCCGGCACTCCCCGGATTCGCAGGTTTCGGGCTCTGGTTTTGTCTTCCATGCCCGCTAATTGAGCGGTCAGCGCCGCACATTGTTTTTACAACTGTCCCAGGGCAGCGTCTGTCGCCGCTTGTGCTACTCTCGCGCCCCCGAGGGACTCCTCAACGGAGACCACCCGGCCTGCAAGTGTGGAGACCTCCCCTCGGACAAGTGCCATGTCGGCGTCAAACATCGCTTTGATGTTTACCATCAGTGCCTTGATGTCGGTTTTCGTGGCGGGTGCTGCGTCGCCCAATTCTTTAGGCTGCTGGGGAGTAATATGCACCTTGCTGGAAACGTGGAAGGAATCGAGTGCGCTGTCATCGTCGGATGACTGTGTGTCGAAGGCCTCTATCGGCGCCATCTTGCCAGGTACGTGCAGCTGCCTAGGACGCATAAAAGTGCCTATATCTTTGGATCCCGAGCCAGGATCTGCTCTGCTCTTCTTAGTTTTCTTCCCCATAGTGTGGGGTGTCTTGGGGATCTGTTTGTTGGGTCCCAGAGGTGGTTTTTGTCGCTTGGATATCCCTTTTTCTGGGTCTCACGCTCGGAGCTGTGGTGAGTTGCGACTTGCTCGTTTAGGCGTTGGCTCCCTTTCAGCCATTTTTGATGGGCAACAACACTGGCCTCTCTAAGATCATTACCGATGTCCTCCTTGGCATTTTGTTAACATAAACCTGAATGCTCCAGTACATACGTTACATGCAACCAGAACACACTATGACAAACCGAGAGACAACATGTTCATCATCTGATATAGCACTAAGCAGTGAGTGCTTGCTGCTCAATTAAAGGGACGATCAAAGCACAACTAGAATCCCTTGTAGTGGTTATGGTAGCAGGAGTTCCCTCTCAGTGTAAGTAGTCAAACTACTTGCGAAAGGCTTGACAACTTACCTGGGGTCCCCCAGGAGCCTGCCACCTCATGTGGAGCCAGAGGATTTGGCAAGGAGCTCCTGTTTGCGCCACTGAGCTGGTCCGTGCATGGCTCGTTTGCTAAGAGTGTCAGCTGTGCGCTCTCAACCATTAAGCGCCTTCCTGCGCCACCAAGCTTAGCTCAGGGCAGAAGGGAAGTGGCGACAGGTGCCTGGTTGAGCTCAGGTAAGTTGGCATCATGGGATGGGCATGGGTAGAATGGCGCATGTTAAGGACTATGAGGGTGGCAGAATTTTAGACGTGTTAAGGCGGAGTAATGGCGTGTTGTGTAAAACCAAGTAGGAAGGGAGTTACAGTAATCAAACTTTGTGAAGAATTAGGAGTTCTGAATATCAGTAGAGGGCAGATTTTCTGAATATTAAACAGGCGACAAGGATATTGAGAAGTGAGAGAACCTATATGTTTTTCAGAGAATATGGAGGACTCAACGATGACCTCAATACTCTCACTGAAGTTCTGCGTTGTAAGTGATGGGATGTAAAGCAATGCGGAATTTGTTGGCGCTTTATAGTATAATAATAACGGGGTGATGGGCAGATAGTGAGAGGGGGAAAACTATTTTTTTACTTCACAGCTTTTTTTACCCTAAGAGTTACAATCACTTTTACATTTTCCACCATGTGCAAATTGGCACGCACATTTTTTTTAAATTTTTTTTTTAATTGTCAAAATGTATTGTTATAACTGTTTTCAATAAAGTTAATTAAAAAAAAAAAAAAAAACAGTGTCGCATCCCTGTGGTGATGTGCTTGTGGTGTAGTGGCTAAGAGGTCAATTTCAGTACGCACACCGGAAGTGATGCGTTGTAGCGTCAGTACACCCGGAAGTCATGAGGTGACTCCGCCTCAGTACACCCGGAAGTGATGAGCTGTCGCCTCCAGGACCAGTTTCAGTACACCCGGAAGTGATGAGCTGTCGCCTCCAGACCAGTTTCAGTACACCCGGAAGTGACGTGGCGCGCTGTGGATAGTGTATGCTGTGCTGCGATGTGATTGGGTGACGGCTGACTGTGCTCGGTAGCCGGGAGAGGATGCGCAGGAGAGGTCGGGCTGCCTGTGGAGCTGCCCCGTTGCTTCTCGTTCTGTGCGGGGTGTTCAGGGCGACCTGCGGCGGCAAGTCTCTGCCAGCCTTCAACGATGACATTCCCTTCCGGCTCAGCTGGCCCGGGCCGGACTTCTCCCTGGTCAGTGAGGGAGCGGGGGGGGGACAGGGGAGTAAGTGGTTATGGTGGCAGGGGAGTAAGTGGTTATGGTGGCAGGGGAGTGGTTATGGTGGCAGGGGAGTGGTTATGGTGGCAGGGGAGTAAGTGGTTATGGTGTCTGTAACTAGCAGTAGATGTTAGTGAGTTTATGTGGGGTTAATGGTGACATGTGACATTTTAGGGTTAGTCAGGGTGTAATTATCAGGGACAACGCAGACTGATCACCGGGGAGCAGTGGGGTCTGGCTGCACTGGAAGAAATGGGGAGATACAGGGTCTGGCAGTGACATGGGGTAATGGGGAGATACAGGGTCTGGCAGTGACATGGGGTAATGGGGAGATACAGGGTCTGGCAGTGACATGGGGTAATGGGGAGATACAGGGTCTGCCAGTGACATGGGGTAATGGGGAGATACAGGGTCTGGCAGTGACATGGGGTAATGGGGAGATACAGGGTCTAGCAGTGACATAGAGGTAATAGGGAGATACAGAGGTCTCTGGCAGTGACATGGGGTAATGAGGTACAGGGATGGCAGGCATGAGTGTGGGGGTGAGACCCTGCTTGGCAGTGACATAGGGAGATACAGGGTCTAGCAGTGACATGGGAGTATTTACAGGGTCTGGCAGTGAGATGGGGTGTTGCAGGGTGTGGTAGTGACATGGGGTGTTGCAGGGTCTGGCAGTGACATGGGGAGATACAGGGTCTGGCAGTGACATGGGGTGTTGCAGGGTCTGGCAGTGACATGGGGTGTTGCAGGGTCTGGCAGTGACATGGGGTGTTGCAGGGTCTGGCAGTGACATGGGGTGTTGCAGGGTCTGGCAGTGACATGGGGTGTTGCAGGGTCTGGCAGTGACATGGGGTAATGGGGTGTTGCAGGGTCTGGCAGTGACATGGGGTAATGGGGTGTTGCAGGGTCTGGCAGTGACATGGGGTAATGGGGTGTTGCAGGGTCTGGCAGTGACATGGGGTAATGGGGTGTTGCAGGGTCTGGCAGTGACATGGGGTAATGGGGTGTTGCAGGGTCTGGCAGTGACATGGGCTAATAGGGAGCTGAAGGGATATTACAGTGACATGGGTTAGTTGGGAGCTGCAGGGGTATTGCAGTGACATGCGTTAATGGTTAGCTGCAGGGTTTAGCAATGACATGGGTTAATGGGGAGATGCAGGGTCTGGCATGGAATGGATTAATATAGAGCTGCAGGAGTCCATGGGTTAATCGGGAGGTGCAGGGTTTGGTAGTGACATGGGTTAATGGGGAGTTGCAGCATCTGGTAGTGACATGAGATCATGTGGGTCTGCAGGATCCATCCGTGGTGTAGGAAGCGGGGACTTGCAGGTTTCAGCCATGAGTTGGGCAGAGGGAACCACAGGGCATAGCAAGGGCAAGTTAGCAGAATGGGTGTTTATCCCTCAGGTGTGCAAATGGAGCTCCACCTTTATGGTAGTCAAATTGGGAGCTGCGAGGTCCAGACATGAAGTGGGAAAATGGAGAGCTGAAGGCTATGAGGAGGTCCGAAACATATTGGATCTTAAAGGAACATTCCACACATATTTAGAACGTTAGCTTATTAAAGTGCTTTAGTGTGTTCATTTTTTTCATGTTTTCATGTTAAGCGCAAATGCAGGAAATCATAGAAATCATCAGGTTTATAAACCTTGTTACACGTCCCCGGCTGTCAATCACACAGACAGCCCTGTTACTTACTGGAAGTTTAGCTCAATGGAGATGAATTCAAGAGACAGAAAACCCAGAGCACATGTAGCTATAGCAAGCCCAGATGTCCTATAACCCCGAGGTATATCTGTATAATGGTATTTATTTATAAAGTATTCATTTTATAAGCAAGTACCAGTAAATCGGTTGTAGGCCAAAATGGTTGATTTGATTGAATAACACATTAACACACCGTGTTAAATTATATCTGAGATCTTTCAATTACACAAAAAGTAAATCAAGTGATATGACACAATGATTAACAGCAAATTATTTCACATACCCTGTGTTTAATTAAACGGTATAACTCAATATTCAGGTCCCAATGTAAACTATGAATTTCTTTGTCTGTTTAAAAGTTAAGCCTTCCCTGTCTGACATGTCATTGTATTGGCTTTGTTTGTAGCGTTCAGTTACACACACTAGTTGTTTTCTGATTGAATTCAATTTTTCGCAGTCAGTTGTTTTGTGAATGTTGAAAGAATCTCAACAATGTACAAGCTGTGGAATGTATACAGAATCTGTGCTAGTACAGCACGAACCAGTTTCTGAAAAGACGGAAATGCAGTATCCATTGGTTTTCAAAAGCCTTCTGAAAATGTACTAAAACACTTTGTATTCTCTGCTTTTACTTTATAACAGCCTACTACAGGCATACCATACAAAGACGATGACTACATCATTATGACCACGGCAGATAAAGAAACATATAAGTGCATGCTTCCATTAATGTCAAGCAATGATCAGGTAATATTACAAATTGCATTGTTAAAGCTGCTTGTTAGAATGCTGCTCAGTGTGTTATGTAGTAGTTGTCCAGTTAGAATTTTATTGGAAGATATTTTGCATTTCATCTAATAATTAGTTCAGAGTGCCTTGGAACGCTAGATTAAAGGAGCACTATAGGGTCAGGAATACAGACATGGGGGTTAAAACCACCATCTAGCCACTCTGGTCCCCTCTTGTCTCCCTAAAAATCGTAAAATCTTACTTGTATTCAAGTCTGGAGCTGTCGGCTTTGTCCCTGTTTCCTGTAGACCTGCCTGCTGACACCAGCAGAAGTGGTAGTCTGATCCAATCACAATGCTTCCACATAGGGCTGGCTGAGACTGACAAAGAGGCAGAGCCAGCACAATTTAAACACAGCCCTGGCCAATCAGCAGCTCCTCATAGAGATGAATTGAATCAATGAATCTCTATGAGGAAGGTTCAGTGTCTGCATGCAGAGGGAGGAGACACTGAATGTTTGGAGCATGTTAGACAGCCATGACCCAGGAAGGATCTCTAACAGCTATCTGAGGAGTAGCCAGTGAAGTTATCACTAGGCTGTAATGTAAACACTGCATTTTCTCTGAAAAGACACTTTGCTGTTTACAGCAAAAAGCCTGAAGGTAGTGATTCTACTCACCAGAACAAATGCAATAAGCTGTAGTTGTTCTGGTGACTATAGCGTCCCTTTAATAAAAAAATTATAAAAAAATGTACAAACTTTATTTTATTGAAAGTAAATATTTTTTTCGTTAAACAAACAAAATGCATGAAATGAGCAGTCTGTTTAAGATCTATTACACTTTTCTCCGTTGCCCTAACTTATTACACTATGAAGCATGATCAGTGATCACATTTGATAACCATCATTTTTTTGTAATTGATAGCTGAGATTTTAACCAGGTCCTCTCTACCAATTGTCGTATGCATCAGAAAATATAGTAGAGCTGAAAGTTGTCAGCTTTAAACACATGTTAGTGGATGAAGTTCTGTCTCCGTTTTTTGTTCTGTTATTTTATTTATTTAAATGAGAAATCTGCAAATATTTATGGGAATGTGCTGGACTTCTTGTAAGTGGGAATTCAGGTTTCAGCTATTATGCATTGAGTTTTGCATCATTTTATTTTGCTTTAAGAATGCATGGAAAATAAATCAGATTAATCTTTCATGGGTTTTTGTGACACATAAATTTTTTTATTCATTATATTTATTGTTTTTTTATTTATTTTATTTATTGTTTTACTTTACAGGAAGATGAACGTGACTACAAAGGTCCCACGCCAAGTGAACTTTTGGAGCCTCTTTTCAAGCAGACTAGCTGTTCATACAGGGTACACTGTCCCTTGCTTCTTTTACCTTTTAAAACTAAATTCTAGTTTCACTTTTCGGTTGTGATTGGAATCATGTACTCGGAGCACTTTACACAGTTAAATGTAGGTAGGGTTAAAGGAAGGGAGATAAATAATAAGACATTCATGTACAAAGTATTCACCTTAGCCTATAATTTACATTGAGTGAAATACATTTATAATTTGGGACTATCAAAAAATATACAGTGTGGTTACTGCAAGTTGTTTGTATATAGATCTAAACCTTACCTTGTGTCACTTTACCCTACTTCCCTTAGAATGTAAGCTTGTTTGGCAGTGCCCTCAGCGTCCTCTGTTCCTGTACATCCAACTTGTCTTGGTTCAAATACTTGTTTGTTAGTCCCCCTATTGGACAGCGCTTTGGAATTTGTTTGCACTTTATAAATAATTCTAATATACAGTGTGTGAATAAAGGAGGGATTTTTAATGTTCGGGTTGTTAGTGTTGAACTTTTACATTTTTTGCTTTAAAATAGTCATCTCTCTTTAATTTTTAGATAGAGTCTTACTGGACCTACGAGGTTTGCCATGGAAAACACATTCGTCAGTACCATGAGGATAAAGAAGCTGGGCAGGTATGTTCCCTTTATTTCATTTTTAATATTTGTTGTAGGGGAGGTTGAGCGAAAAGTTAGCAGAGGAAAAATTAAAGTTGATCTTTAGAGAATTTAAGGGGCATAATTAAAAATACTGTGTAGGTTGTGAAAATTAAGAAATTGTTAAGCCTATTAGCAGGTAATTAGAGACTCCTATGTAAAACCTTGCAAAACCCATATGCATGCATTGTCGCTGCGCATGCACATTAGGTTACCCAATCAGCTGATGTCACAGCAGTTATTTTGAAAGCCTGGTTTAACATATTATACAACACAGAGCCAACATTTATCACCATTTAGTGCACTATCTCTTTCCCTGTTTCTAGAAAGTAAATATTCAAGAGTATTATCTTGGGAATATGATTAAGAAGAGCTCACTAGAAACAGGTAAGTTACGTTCCCCAATTTTTCTTATGGTTGATTTTAGTTTTTTCATATTAAAGCGTGCCTGTTGTGATACACACAAGTGTATTTATTCTAAACATTAATTAAATTTTCAAAGATTCCAAAAAGTGCTTTGGCGTTTGGGTAATAAGTTCTTGATAAGTATAGCTGCATACATTTTGTTGGTTTTGGAATACTTCTTTTAGTCAGTTAATTTTTTTTATCTATACTTTACCATAGCAGAATTCATAGCAAATGTATAGATTGAGAAACAAAAATAGGTCCCTCCCTATCTGACAATCGATTCTTCAGTATAGTCTTTGTAGACCTCTATGCCCAAGAGTTTACAGACAAGGAGAGCAGGAGAACACTCCCACAGGCTACACGACATGTATTTCTTGTTGCTATGGTTAATCACTAGCAGTTGCATCTAACAATGACTAGAGAAGTATAGGAATAGAGTGAATGATGTCACTCCTTTCAGACGCCTTAACACTCAACAAAAAACAGCGTATTCGTGACAAAAAGTAAACAGAAGGCAAACATCACAGTTGTGCAACAACCTCAGAGCATCAGAAATGGTGTGGGGGAGAGGTGAATTCAGTTACAGGGACACTGTAGACATTGCAAATGCTTCATCTCGTTGAAGTGGTTACAGTGTCTTGGTACCGTCCCTTGTTTAGGTCTTTAACAGCTTTAATGGGACAGTGAACTGCACAAATACAAAAAAGAAAAAAACTAAAATCACTATTTAGTTGATATACCCCATTGAAAACCTATTTGTGATGCTTGGACTGATGAGGAAGCAGCTGAGCAGTAATTGGTGGAGGTGATTGGTGATGGCAGTCACCCACTGCTGACATGAATTGGTATTACTAAGGAAGAGTGTAACTTAGCCAAACGGCGTGTGGGCCAGGCTGTGGTTTTCCAGGGGCCATTATTCAATGTTAAACTGCTTGAAAATGGATTCATAATGAATTAGGGGACCGTGCCAGGGGACTCCAAGTACTATAACTAATCCAGTGAGATGAAATAGCTATAGTGCCTACAGCAGAGTACAGAATATTTGATAGAGTTCTAACCTCAACATATGAGGAAAGGGATTTAGGGGTGATTATTTCTGATGACTTAAAGGTAGGCAGACAATGTAATAGAGCAGCAGGAAATGCTAGCAGAATGCTTGGTTGTATAGGGAGAGGTATTAGCAAGGAAAGAGGGAAGTGTTATATTTTATAATGATGTACCTGAATGTACCTGGATGCAAGTGTAGTAAAGCTGCTATAGATCTTACTGAAATTAAACTTCCTCTCCTTCCACCTTTAAGTGTAAAAAAATAAAAATAAATACATAACCCCATAAGCACCAATTCTATGTAATGAAAACAATCTGGCTTTTGGAATAAGTATCCTATTCCAAAGTGGACTCCTCTATTTGGTTAACAGCTCTTTTCTAAGCTGCTGAATATGCAGCAAAGTATATCCTGGATCAGAGTGTGATCTCTTCTTCTCTCAGTCAGTTTAGCCTAGCCCACTCTATACCGATCCACCATGAGATAAGAAAGTTGGGCACTTCAAGTCTCACCAAAACCCTCCTCTAGGCATCATTCTTGCGCACACACACACACACACACAAGGGTTAAAAACACTTACCTTAATTCTAGCACTGATGACCCTTGGCGCTGGATCAGTTTCCTTCTTCAGCAACTTCCCAAATGGAGAGGTCATTGTACACACCGTTAGAAGGGGAATACTTCCGCCAGGGTGCTCAAGACAGCGAGGGTCAGCTTTCCAAAAGAATCCAGTAGTGAGAAATATAAATATCTGGACACATCTGATGGCGTCATGCCGATGTATGGCCATGCATGCATTAGAGCTTCCCCATAGGAAAGCATGGAATCCTGTGCATTCCTATGGGGGTTTTGAAGAGTTAAACTCGGTGAGAAGTCAGGAAGTGCCTCTAAAGGAAGTCTTAACACTAAAAATACACTTAATCGTATTACATAAGTCAAGCCAGATGGTTAGAAAACTGCAAACCCATATCTGTAATGACGCATTCACTTTAAACGTCCTGCAAACTATGGGCAGCATTCAGAGCTTGACCATTCCTATTTCAGCATTGCTACCATCAATCTTTGAAACATATGCAAAATAGATTAAATATCAAGCTCTTATGGGTCCATTTCTTCATGACAGATTCCTACCAAAAACATTGAAGGACAAATGACTCCATACTTTCCTGTCGAGATGGGGAATGGAACCCCGTGTGTCTTGAAACTGAACCAGCCGAGAAGTAGCACAGTCATGTATATATGTCATCCTGATGCTAAACATGAGATCCTGTCTCTAGCTGAAGTAACCACTTGTGAATATGAAATTGTTATACTTACACCTCTTATCTGCAATCATCCTAAGTACAGGTGAGGTTTGTTTTAGAAAGACTCCTGTCTTTACAATTCTTTATTTCAGTTGTTGCATTATATGATTGTTAGCCTTATAGACAAGTAGTCTTTCTGTCTTCCTCACAGGTTTAGAACATCACCCATTAATGATATCTTCTGCCAGGCAATGCCAGGTTCACCTCTAAGGCCGCTGAGCCTTGAAAAGCTGGAGCAGCAGCAAGAAGTAACCAAGACGCCGTTTAAAACCAACAAGGAGGTAATTCTCACTGTATTATGCCATTCACTGTTACAGCTTACACTTTCTGTAAAAACAATAATTAGAAGGGAAAAGTGAGTTATTCATAAATTGGTTTGTAAGATAAAATATTTACAATGCATTGCAATGAAAACCCAATAGCAAAATTTAGCAAATTTGGTTTTCCGTTCACTGAGAAGTGAATAAACCATATAGGGTTTTTATTTGTATGGGGAAAAAAGTGTGCCATGAATCTTAGCATTTCTCTGTCAGGAGAAGATGAGTTTACACTTTTTTTTACATTTTTACCCAAAAGTGTCTGCAGCAAAATATTCCTTTTCCTCGTATTGAGTTGGATTGTGACATTGTATCATGGGGTAAGCACTCTCTCAACTGCTGGAGAGAGCTCATCTCTCTTAACGTGGTAATGCTGTTAGCCCTGTGTTTTATTATAGCGTTTCGGTGAAGACTGAGAATACTACTTAAAGTGGTTCTGTTTCCTTCATGACATGCCCACTTTACAGGTAGTTAAAGCTTAAAGTTCTCTCTCAGGGATACTTTAAAATAGTATTTAATTTGTCACAGTCTGTTCCATAAGGACCCGGTGCTGGTATGGAACATCTTGCTTATTTAGCAATAAGATTTGTACAGCCCTGCAGTTGTTAAATGAGTAGATCTTTAAAGGCTGGTTTGTTATAAGAATTAGTGTCCGTCACAACTCATTCTAATTTCCCTTTCTCAGATCCTTAAATTAACTGTTTGATTGCTAGATTAGTGACACTTAACAGAATGTTTTGAGGAGTTATTTTTTCACCATTTCATATTCAATGTTATTAAATGAATTACAGGAGGACAGGCAGTCTTTGAGAGACAAGTTTTCCACAATCCACAAGCCAGTCTCAGTTGGAGCTCAACAGCAAGTAACTGTCGGAACCACTCACATATCCAGATTGACTGATGAACAGCTGATTAAGGAGTTTTTGAGTGGCTCTTATTGTTTTCATGGGGTAAGGAGTGAGAGCATCTAAAATACTACAAACTACAATCAATCAGCTAATAGTGCTAGCTTAAATCTTTGAAATCACCAAAATAGTCTGTATATTTGGGCATTCCAGATGAAGGTTATCCCTCTGTGTGCCAAACCAGCCTCTTTTGGTGCAACGTTACACATGTGTTTTGTTCTATAAGCTAGTTGCCTGGGTGATGGTACATCTGTTTCTAACACTGGCTTGTTGACCTTCAAATTCATAATTATTTGAAACCAAGTGCCCTTCAATAAGCAAATGTATTGCTTCTGACACACAATAACAGTGTGATAGGAAATTTGTGAGTATGTACAAAAAGCCCAATGGATATGTCCCCTCGAGCGTTTCTAAAGGGTTCTAACTCATCTGTGGCTGTACCCCAAAATTTGCCCAGATTACATGAGATATACATCACTTACTCCATTTTTATTTTTAGGGTGTCGGTTGGTGGAAGTATGAATTTTGCTATGGAAAACACGTCCATCAGTACCATGAGGTATGTTGATCTGTGCATATACCTTCCCAACCACTAGATGGCCTTTTTGTAGCATCTCCTAAGAATCTGACTCTGACTATATATAAGCACAGTTTGTTTTACAAGGCAATTTTGTAAAAAATCTGAAATTAATTTTATGTATTATTTAAAATTATGGCATTGTGAATATTTATTTTATATGGATAGATAATGCGTGGGAGGAAATTGTGAATTCTCCAATTCCGCAATTTGGACAAAATAGTTTGATCATGACCTGTATTGTAAAACGTAGTTTGTTTAATTTTCCTAATTATATTATTTAGCAATTGGCCATTGACTTATAAATCTGGTATTGGTCAGACAAATTATTTTAAATTTACAAATAACAAATACAAACAGTATGGATGGACAGACAAGAAAGCCATTCCATGCAATGGTTCGATTCAGCCTTAGTAACGCTCTAAGTAATTGATTTGACAGTTAAGTCCATGTCTCCTTTAGGATAAGGACACTGGAAAGACAACAGTAGTTGTGGGCATGTGGAAACCAGAAGAACATCTCAACTGGGCTAAGAAAAACCCTGCTAGGTTATATCTCCTTCCAAGCGATGGGAAGCAAACGGTTAGGTAATTTGATTTCAACTTGCAACCCCCACCAACACAACTACCACCACATTTGTTGTTTAAACTTGGACCTAGTAGGACTATTGGCTGTATATATTCCTTGTAGTTTCTCCCAGTCCAATTGGCTGTATGAAGGACATGGTATTTACCTTCCTTGTTGTACTGCCGTTTGGTATAAGGTGATTTGTAAAGGTGGGAGGATAAAAATTTAGACATGAGTTATTTGTGTTAACTTTTTAAAAAAAATTTTTTTTTTTTTTTTTTTTTTTATAGAATGGTATCCCATTTCTATGGTGGTGGAGACATTTGTGAATTAAACGAAAAGCCAAGGCAGGTTGTTGTCAAATTAAAGTAAGTACATTCTGTGTTTAATATGCATATTCTTTAACCATAATGATGAGTGGGATCGAGGCTTGGATTTACCATTTATAGTTCTTTTTGTGTATTCTATACAATATACAATTTTAAAAAGAAGAGAAACCCTTGTCTTTTGTTGTGCACTAAACAAACTGATCCAGTAACACCAGCTTCAACCAAAAGTGACGGAGATCCCTCTGCCAATTCTGGTCTTCCTCTAGCTTTCTTTATTTGAATGAAAAACAGCTTTAGGCACTTTGTTTCCTATGTAAACTGATTTATTAAACCATTGTTACTTTTGCAGATTGAGGGGACTTTGTGAATTTGTATTTTGTTGCATCTTTCCAGGAGACAATATATAGTTCTTGTTAATTGTGGAGCTTGTGCTGCAGACTCCTCGTTGACTGTAATATCTAATTGTTGCATGTGCTTTGATGTTTACTGTAATAAGCCTGTAAGTTATGTGAAAAGGCTAGACAGGGATACTTGACAATAGCAGGGTTATTCTAAACTGAGAATTGTCAGGAAATCAGAGAAATTGAATTTCAAATTTTAGACCGAAATAGTCGAACTGAAAGCATAGCTGTCTGGGAGAATTATCCCAATTCAGATATATTGTCCTTGCAATTGTTATTCACTTTGAATTCCCAGCAATTCTCGCTTTATTAAATAACCCTGTAGATGTATCTGTAATATGATGTTCAGCACTGTTAATAATTCCAACTGAACTTGGCCAGTATAGAGGCTATATTCCCATTGTCCACCTAACGTAATATACACACATGCCTTTATTTTAATCATAGTGTGTAAATAAAGTGCTGAAAGGGGAGAGATGATGACCATGTCATTTGGTATCATGCTTATGTAAATTACCACTATAGTTGTAAGCTCTTTTGATCATAGTCCTCATTAACTTGTTCTTTCTCAAACCTTTTGTAATTGTCTCATTTATTTTTAAATTTCCCTCTTTATTATATTGTGAAGCACTGTGGAATAAGTTAGTGCTATTTAAAGGCCAATAACAATAATTGTATAAACACCAATAATAATCTTTAATGGCGGGGCAATAATATGTGTACTCTTTATTTGCCGTGTATAAATGGAAATTAAATGTGCACTATACCTTCAATGGCAATTCTTCTGCCTTAGAGTTGGCTCATTCTATTTTCTATACACTATTCTAACCTATCCTTTTTTTCATAAACTATTTACATTGACATTTTGTGTTCATTGTTTTAGGTGCAAGGAATCAGATTCACCTCATGCAGTTACTGTATATATGCTTGAACCACAAACCTGTCAATATGTTCTTGGAGTAAGTACCAAATTCCTACGTATAGTCTGGAAATCTTTTACTTATATTTTGAAACACTGTTTCCCATTTTGTGGCTCTCTGCATTTTGAAATTTGTTAATATTCCCGTTTTTCCAAAGTCAGTAATTCAGGAAGTGTTTGGGTTGAAAAATAATTAAGTGATGAGAATATCTTAAAAAAAAAAAAAAGACTTGCATATTTCATTCGATATTTTTTTGCTGAAATTAAGGAATGTTTGTTTTATGTACTTGTAGCGATTGGTGGACACATTAACCCCTTAAAAGAGCACTACACTGTTAGTAATACAAAAGTCTAAGGATGTAAAGGGCTATATTCAGTGCTGACTTTCCGCACTGCATGCAGCACATCAAAGAGTCTGGGGAACTAAAATTGGCCCCAGCTGACAGAGAAGAGAGCAGTTTCCTAATGTGGGCGGGTATTTAAATACATATCTCACTCTAAGCATTGCATGCAGCTTACCTGTCAGTCCTGGTCCACTAAAAATGTCCCCAGCTGACAAAGGGGAGCCCCAGGGGTCTATTGATATCTGGATTTACTGGTGTGATCAGGGATATAACCATGCTCACACTGCCTTGCTGCCTATGGGGATTTAAATCCCCATTGAAAGAGTTGCATGCTGATCTCACTTTGATCTCTGCATGCAGCTTACCTGTCAGTCTTGGTCTTCTAAAAATGGCCCCAGGTATCTACTAATACATGGGTTTCCTGGTGTAAGCACGGATTTAACCCTGGCCACACTGCATTGTAACAGTGAGGATTTAAATCCCTGATTGCAGTGCTCACTAAATCTGGCCTCTGTTGATTGAGGGAATTTAACACCACCTTGCACTTTTAATGCATGACCGTTTATACAGTCACAGGGCATTCAAGCCTTGCACTGTGTCAGACAGCCAAGCATGACGGCAAAGCAACATTTCGACCTGCTGAGAGGTCTTTATCAAGCTTAAATAAAAACCTCTAAGCGGGTCGAAACGTTGCTTTTTTAATCCAGTAAACCTGCCTGTGGCTTGAATTCCGTGAGTGCCTGGAGATGTTATCTATTCTCTGTTACATATATTCTGCGTTTGCGGGTCCTGCTTCAGTGCATCCCGTACTAAGTGGAACTGAGTGCAGTTCCTTGTCTTTAGCTTTAAAGCATGAGGGCATCGACCGTCATGTGGTCTTTAAGTAGTTAAGGGTTTCTTTTCAAGTGTCCCCTTAAAAAAGTAATACCTGTGGCTCCCTGGTGTAATCAGAGATGCTCACAACAAATCTGCAGGGTGTTTCATGCAGACATACAGATATTTAACCCCACTCTGCTTAAACTCATAGAGCGTCTGAAAGGGGTTAATCCGTCCTCCCTGATTTATAACACTTTCCCACGAATAAGAGTTGAGAAACAGTCTCTAAACAAACTGGTTTTTTTTCTGTTTTTTTTTCTATTTTAGGTGGAATCTCCGGTAATATGTAAAATACTGGATACTGCAGATGAAAACGGCCTCCTTTCAATTCCCAATTAACTTTCAAAATAAGTCAAACCTACCAGCATTTGTAATTAATCAGCAAGAACAAAACTGTACAAAAATAATGACTTGACAAGCCTCTCTGTGTATATGTATGTACTTGTGTATATAGTGGGTAATACATACGATTTTAAATACGACAATGCAGCTTCTGTATTTGTACAAAGAACATTTTTTTTCAATTTACTATTTTTCACAAACAACAAATATAATAGATTTTTGTAGTCTAACTAGCATTTAACTAAATAACCCATGGGTCACCCAACAAAACAAATATACAAAAATAGCATGTAGTATATAAATTATAAAAGGGAAATAACAATCATCAGGACATTTTTCAATTTGAAAATTAATCTTAAGTATGTAAAATGCAATTACAGTATCTTAGTTATCCCCAGCCCTTCAAATTATTATTCATTGAACACTGAATTGTAATAAACTGAAACATGAATTGCAAATGTAAACTAAAATAGCCAAGCTTTGACTATAGCTGAGCTGAAGAATATTTCCAGTAAACTATTTGTGGCTCAATTTTGTAATTAAATTTTTAATTTAATTTCAATTCAGTATATGATAAATAACATCTGCAAGTCTCCACTCATGATTTTCAAGGTATTTGGTCAAAGTCACTATATGACTATTATACTAGTCACCGTGTTGTTTGACCGATGATCACTCATACCACAAAATAACAAGCCTTAAACCACAAGTACTAAAAAACAAACACAAAACACACACCACTGTAATTGCTATTCAAGTTAAAATAGCAGTGTTAATAGCAGGGATGGGAAAACGGCTGTTTTAGTCAAAGAACATAAATTCGGTTGGGCATTTGTCAAGCTAAGGCTCCCACGTTTTGCAAAAGAAGAATGAGGTGCTGTCTGTATATTATGTAATCTCTCCATTGTGAGAATAGGCTGAAGCTCAGACTAAAGTGACATGTTAACAGTGTTACTTCAATGGGGCTAGTGTGCGTGTAGACATGAAATGGTTAATGGAATAAAGTGAAAACCACAAGATTCTTTACACCTACTTTTCATACTGTTTACTCCCATTAACAAGTTACAGGTTTATTCACTAAGCTATGAATTGAAATCGGACAAAATGTGGGCAGTATATCTGATTTGGGAAAAATCTCCCAACTCTGCTGTAGTGACATTGGCTATTTTAGCCAAAATTTTACAATTCAGATTAAAGTTAATTAATTAGCTTTAGGGAATGCACTCCTGAGAAATGTCTGATTTATTTATTTATTTTTTGTTAATTATAAACTATGTGTTCTAGAGAATCATTCACTTTAGTGACTTTCTACAATGTGTAAAACACAAAGATAATATGAACAAAATGTTTATTTTTTTTATTTTTAAATTCAATTTATGAATACATTACAAAGTATTTATCTGACATTCCCAGGAATTACATTATGGCCAAATAAAATGTCTCAACTGAGGTCTTTTTTGAGTTCCGTAAGAGGAAGAAAGGCTTCAGATTCTTAAACTAATTAACAGACAATCATATTTTGTGTGGATATACAGAATTGTACGATGAAACTCACATTAATACGCCGTTACAAAATATTCTTTACAAAATTTAAAGCCAGAGACTTTCTAGTGAATGAAACCCATATCATGATGTGGAGTTAATTTAAAAAAAAAAAAGTGACTGATGCTTATTCTTCCAACAATGTATATATTTATAATAGTTTCTCATGTTATTTCTAAATGGAGTAAGTCTACAATTTGATCACGAAAAAATGAGGGCGTATAGTGAAGCCTTTACAGATTACTAAAATTTGTTGTTTTTTTATATATATATATATATATATATATATATATATATATATATATATATATATATAATATAATCCCATTTCATGTGAACGTTGTATAAATTCAATCACACGAGCCTCTGAAACATACTGACACAGCACACACAAAAAGAATGAGAAGCGACAATGGGCGGGTGGAGAATGAAGGGAGCCATTTCTGTATTTTGCACAAGGGTCTGAATATACAGGTGTGTGTGTATATATATATATATATATATATATATATATATATATATATATATATATATATACAAAAATTAGAATATTGTGCAAAAGTTCATTTATTTCAGTAATGCAACGTAAAAGGGGAAACTAATATATGAGCTAGTTCAAGCCGTGATTTGTCATAAGTGCGATGATTATGGCTTACAGCTTATGAAAAACCCCAAATCCACAATCTCAGTAAATTAGAATATTACATGCAATCAATAAAACAAGGAGTGTACATAGAACAATATCGGACCTCTGAAAAGTATAAGCATGCATATGGACTCAGTACTTGGTTTGGGCCCCTTTTGCAGCATTACTGCCTCAATGCGGCGTGGCATGGAAGCTATCAGCCTGTGGCACTGCTGAGGTGTTATGGAAGACCAGGATGCTTCAATAGCGGCCTTCAGCTCTTCTGCATTGTTCGGTCTCATGTCTCTCATCTTTCTCTTGGCAATGCCCCATAGATTCTCTATGGGGCTCAGGTCAGGCGAGTTTGCTGCCAATCAAGCACAGTAATCCCACGGTCATTGAACCAGGCTTTGGTGCTTTTGGCAGTGTGGGCAGGTGCCAAGTCCTGCTGGAAAATGAAGTCAGCATCCCCATAAAGCTCGTCTGCGGAAGGAAGCATGAAGTGCTCCAAAATCTCCTGGTAGATGCTGCGTTGACCCTGGACTTAATGAAGCACAGTGGACCAACACCAGCAGATGACATGGCTCCCCAAATCAACACAGACTGTGGAAACTTCACACTGGACTTCAAGCATCTTGCAGTGTGTGCCTCTCCATTCTTCTTCCAGACTCTGGGTCCTTGGTTCCAAATGAGATGCAAAAGTTGCTCTCATCAGAAAAGATGACTTTGGACCACTGAGCAACAGACCAGGTCTGTTTTTCTTTAGCCCAGGTAAGACGCTTCTGACGTTGTTTGTTGTTCAGGAGCGGCTTGACAAGAGGAATACGACATCTGAAGCCCATGTCCAGGATCCGTCTGTGTGTGGTGGCTCTTGATGCACTGACTCCAGCCTCAGTCCACTCCTTGTGAAAGTCCCAAACACTTTTGAATGGCCTTTTCCTGACAATCCTCTCCAGGCTGCAGTCATTCCTGCTGCTTGTGCACCTTTTTCTTCCACACTTTTCCCTTCCACATAACTTTCTATTAATGTGCTTTGATACAGCAAATTGGGAACATTCAACTTTCTCCGCAATTTCCTTTTGAGGCTTTCCCTCCTTATGGAGGGCGTCAGTAATGGTTTTCTGCACAACTGTCTGGTCAGCAGTCTTCCCCATGATTGTGATTCCTACTGAGAGACCATTTAAAGGCTCAGAAACCCTTTGCAGGTGTTATGGTTTACTTAGCTGATTAGAGTGGGATACTGTGAGCCTAGAATATTGCACCTTTTCACAATATTCTAATTTACTGAGATTGTGGATTTGGGATTTTCATGAGCTGTAAGCCATAATCATCGCACTTATGACAAATCACAGCCTGAACTATCTTGCTTTGCATGTAATGCGTTTATCTCATATATTAGTTTCCCCTTTTACGTTGCATTACTGAAATAAGTGAACTTTTGCACGATATTCTAATTTTTCGAGTATCACCTGTATATATTTCGTTTTAGAGAGACATTGAGGCACAATAGCTTATCAACCACAGGGCAGTGTCCAGGATCTGAATGGTAATTTTATTTTGAAGTTTGACAGGTGAGATGGAAGAAGACACAGCATTATTAAATTAGTATAGTATTATGACCAGCTGAACACCTGGTTTCAAGGATTTGCTTTGACAATGCTGAATTTGGTAAGATTTTTATTTTATATATTTCATTTTATATTTTTTAAGTTTGACATACCAGCTCATACTTAAAACCTCTTTAACCCCTTAATGACGAGTGACGGACGAGGTCCGTCACTCAGGGGAAACCCTTAACGACGTCCGTCACACTGTAAAATTAACCCCAGATCACCGTGATCGTGGGGTTAATGGTGCTCCGGTCTGCTGTCAGAGCGAGCACATGTGCTCAGTATACTCACCTTCCGCCTCACTCACCTTCCTGGTTCTGTGTGAAGTGCAGGGAGACGGATCATCGCTGATCTTGTCCCTGTTAGAAAAAAGAAATAAAGCTAATTTAAAATCCCACCCCCCTTTACCCATTTTAATTTAAAAAAATTAACCCCTTCCCTGCCACGTGATCAATTGTCAGGGATTACATTTTACTATGATATGATATTTTTTTTAACCCCTAAGGGTTAATTCTTTTTTTTTTTTTTTAACCCTCAGGGGTTAAATTTATTTTATTTAACTGGGGTGGGTGGAAGTTAGTGGGGAATTGGGGGATTTGGTGTTAGGCTAACTAGGGGTTAACTTTAAAAAAAGTTTTAAAATAAGCTTTAAAAAGTTAAAAATTAAGTGAAAAAAGTTTTTAAAAAATTAACCCCTTACCTGCCAGTCGATCACTGCCTACAGTGATCAAAATACAGATCACAGTATTATACTGTGATCTAATTTTTTTTTAACCCCTGACGATTAACTTTTATTTTTTAACCCTCAGGGATTCCATTTATTTAATTAACTAATTTAAATATTTTATAATTATATATTTTGCTAGCTGGGGTGGGTGGGAGTTATGGGAAAATGGGGAATTTACTGTTAGTGCTGCTTATTGCTAGTTAGGGGTTAACGGTAAAAAAAAAAAGCTTAGAAAAATGTTAAATCTAAAAAAAAAAGTTTTAGGAAAGTTTAAAAAAATAAATAAGCAAAACAAAAGTTTAAAAACTAGTTTTAAAAAGTAAAAAAAGTTTAAAAAAGTAAAAAAATACATTTAAAAATGCTCATTACCACTACACCTGGAACAAACTAGAGAAAAAAATGATCCCACGCCTTTTGAATTACCCCAGGGTGTATTCTTTAATAAACAGTATGTGTTTGTGGGGAAGTTTCAATAACCAACCATCTAAACTACTCCAAACTGGAACATGGACACCGTAAAACTTCAAAGTTAGAAAAAAACTGAATGGCTGCGTCTCAGATGTGCCCCTTCAACATCCACATATACCTGACAAAGGTACATACGGGGGTATTGCTGTACTCAGACCACATAGCTGAGCAACATATGAAGTATTATACAGTCATAGCACACATAAGGTTTGCAAAATATACTGCGCTTATTACCACTACACTTGGTACAAGCTAGCGGAAAAATGATCCTACGCTAAGGTTCAAAATATGCCTTTTGAAATAACCCGGGATGTCTTCTTTAAGAAATGGTATGGCTTTATGGGGTATTTGGATTATATAGCCTGGTAAAATACTCTAAAATGGGACATGGGCACAGCGTAAAAATATAAAGTTTGAAAAAAACTGGAATGGCTGTGTCCCAAATGTGCCCCTCCAGTGTCCACATATACCTAGCAAAGGTACATACGGGGGTATTGCTGTACTCAGCTGACATAGCTGAGCAACATATGATGTATTATACAGTGGTAGCACACATAAGGTTTGCAAAATATACTGTGCAAACTCACTTTGTGTGTCAAAAAGGCAGAAAAAATGCTTATCACCACTACACCTGGTACAAGCTAGCGGAAAAATAATCCCACGCTAAGGTTCAAAATATACCTTTTGAAATAGCCTGGGGTGTCTACTTTAAGAAATGTTAGGCCTTTGTGGGGTAGCTTGAATTTAAAACCTGCGAAGATGCTTGGAAATTGCACATAGGCCCAGCGTCAAAATTCAAAGTTTGGTAAAAACTTATATGGTGGTCTATATGGCACTGTAGCTTCACGAAATAGTGCCAAAGACATTCATTGGGGGTATCTTTTTACTCAGAAGACTTAGCTGAGCATAATATGGGGGGGTTTGAACTTAGTGGCACATATAAAATATATAAAATGCCCAGCAAAAATGCAATCCGTATGTAAAAAATGCACAAAATTATTTTTTACCACATACTTTGGCATATATTGGTGAAAAAATGGGGGCATGTTAAGGCA